CAACAACCACAAAATTAGATATAGATGAAGTTCATATGTTGATCTGAAGTCGTATAGGGGAGCGGTTGGTTCTCTTTTATATCTCACTGCTAGTAGACCTGACATTATTTTCAGTATAGGTCTTTGTGCTCGATTTCAGGCAAATCCAAAGGAGTCCCACTTGACTGTTGTCAAGAGAATATTGAGATACTTGAAAGGCACCATTGACCTTTGTATTTGGTATCCAAAATGTAGTAATTTTAATCTAGTGGGATATACTGACGCTGATTATGCAGGTTTCCTTATGGATAGGAAGAGTACCTCAGGTGTGGCATACTTTTTTGGTTCATGTCTTATATCATGGGCTACCAAAAAGCAAAATTCAATGGCTTTATCTATTGGGGTACTTGCTACAAAAAGCTTAAGTGGCCAAGCCTAGAAAATCTTCTTACCGCCCTTGCAATCACTAGAAAATTCAGTGATTATGAGGAGGAAACTCAGCCCAAGGCTGTGTACAAGAGTGTAATGAAGCCACCTCACAAGGTGTTATTCGAATTTGTCATCAAATGTGTTCTGCCAAGGCAGGCAAGGAGGCACATTGCAAACTTCATGGACTTGGTACTGATGGAGTGTTTGGATAGTGGGAAGCTGATTAATTGGCTTGTATTCATAATCCAGCTTCTTGATAGGGTTGTAATTGGCATCAAGTCTCATGCCATTCCTTATGGCTTCATTCTCACAGCTGTGCTAGCATATTTTAAGGTGCCTCTAAAGAAGTAGGAGGTGGCTACAAACAAAGATCACTTTGGGGTGAAAATTCTTATTGCTTGTGACTATGAGGTCCTTGTCACTCCTAATGAACCTGGTTCATCCAAGACGGCACTAGTCAATAGCAAGGTTAGAGCATTGGTGTAGGAGAGTGGGGCAAAAGATGCTGAGATAGCAAGGCTAAAGACATGGTTCGCTGAAGTAGAGTCTTAGAGAGATGCTCTCAGAACTGAACTGACAAAGGAAAAAGAGAAGATGATGGAGTAGAGTCTTCAAGACATGCTGACACTTCTCCAAGCCCAAAACCAAGCCCCTAGTTCTTCCAAGCCTTAAGCCTACTAGCCTAGTATAGTTCCTTCAGTGACCCAGTTTGGGATGTTTATCTGTTTGCTCATGTTTTTAGTATTTTTATTTCTTTTTATGCTTTGTGGAAAAATCATATCAACTATCAATGAAATCTGTTGATTTTTGTTCTAACTATTTGTTTATATTTCTCTTATGGTTAAAATTCTTAGCTTGATAGATGATGATTAATCCATGATTGCATTTGGGATAGCCAGTGTCCATGAGTAAGAATTTATCAATTTGCATAATACTTTTCGATGATGCCAATAGGGGAAAAAAAGGTTGTGCTTTATACTTTGAACAAGTGATGTTTAGAACCTAATGAACCTGGTCCTTGATGATAAGTGATAAAAAGGAAAAAAGTTTCTAACATTGTGTTGATGTTGAGTGAAGTTGAAACACGGCCTAAGCTTATGATAAAGCATAGTATTTGTCATCATCAAAAAAGGGGGAATTTGTTGGCCCAAGTGAAGGTTAGTTTTGAAGATTCACAAAGGAAGCTCAGGCATGAACCAGGTCCATCCCTCAGGTGCATAGAAACGGGCAAATTCGAGTATGTGGGATGCACGTGAAAGAGATAAACTTCACTTGGTATATTTGATATATCTCCTGATTGAAAAGATTGCATAATTGATAAGGAGCAGGACTCGTTACTCAAAGAGAACTTTATCCAAGATAGGGAAGGAGTTAGAAGTTGAGATCAACTAGAACTCTTCCACCAAGGAAGAGTAGCATTAGAACTCTAGTTATTTCATCATCTACTAACTCTATATATTGTGGGATGTTCTCATTTTTACAAGTATGCACAAATGCAAAAGTTAAACAGGAATTGAGAGCAAAATAGCAAGGCATTTTGCAAGCAGTTCGTGTGAGATTCAAGTGTGCAAACCTGAAGCTACATGAACCAAATAGAAGAACCAGTTCCAAGTGTCTATCTTTTATTATAGTTCAATTGTAGTAGGTGTTTTCATATTGTACCTTTCAGCTTTATCTAGAGGCAATTGTAATAGGTACTCAGAGTATTAAAGTTAGAGTTAACTTGAAGCTATCGCAACAGTTAGAGGCTGTTTGCTATAATGGGATTAGAGTTAGTCCTTGGTTTATAAAAATATTTTTGTAAATGCAGTTTTTGGCTCAGTAATTTAGTGGAGAGTTTGGGAAAATTCTACTGGAAGTAGGCCGTGATTTTTTCACCCTTTGAGCCATGGTTTCAGATGTGTAATGTAATGATTTGTGCTAATTCGTGGTTTTTTTCTATGTAGGAATCATCCGGAGGCAATGTGAGACCAATGTGCGTGAGTTGAAGCAAAAATGGAATGAAATGGGAAAAATGCCACGAAGCAGCGCCCAGGCTAGCATGNCTGTGCTACCTTGGGTGCTGATAACGGAAATTTCTCCTACCTCGACTGGGACAAAGTTATTTCAATCCAAGACACCCTAACTCATATAAAATCAAGCCTAATCTATTTTAACCCCGAATTACGTGCTATGTGATTGATGATGAGGTGACGCACATGCTAGGTGACGGGCGTGTGGGTATGCACCCTGTGAATGGTAACTCCGTTGTTTTCATGAAACTATTTAGTGGCCCTATTTTGTTGATATTTGTTTCCTCACCATGTGATTAAGTAACTGAGTTGTCAATCATGCTAGATATCATGTTTAGGCTTTATGCTGATATTGTTAGAACCCATAGTAGTCGTTTCTTGCTGTCATCTCACTGATTTTACTGATATGTTCGTACTTAGTCATATTCATGTATTCATATCATATCTCACTCTCAGTTGTTATTTCTTAATACATCATATCATTGTTGACGGGCTAGTTTCATGACATTGTGTGTCCGTGGTGAGATTGGAGAGATTGAGGACTGAGAGCCTGATTATGAGTGATAGTTATGGGATCGGGCTCCACACTACAACATATTATATTGAAGCACGCAGCAGCGATATAGAGCTTGGGCTGAACGAGCCCTTCCGGAGTCTGCAAATCCCCAGTGAGCGCAGTCGACTATGTATATATATGTATATGGATCAGGTTGCACGCCTCAACGAGCCTTATGACTATATATATATATATATATATATATATATATATATATAT